CCGGCACACCGCCTGTTGCTCCTCCAAGGAAGAGCATTTGGGAGTGATGAATGAAGATCTGTGTTCATGTATTGTTAGTTGAAGGCTTAAGCTCTTATCCTTCTGTTCGTCTTGAAGGATTTTTGGAGGCATGAAATGCCCTTTTGATTGGTTTATATGGTTGGTTGATTTTGATGAGTTTTGATTCTGAGAATGAGTGTAAAAGACACTGCCAGACTTGACTGTTGTCATATGAGGATTATACTAGAAGGAAATGGTGAAATATTCGATACAGATTAATTTTTGCTTGGTTTCTGCAAATTTTGCTGGTGATATTGTTTGTATTTTTGGGTGGGGTTTCAAGTGAAATTCTGAGTATTTGGGTTCGTTGTCTATCTTCAGGAAACGAAACATTTTTAGTTGTTCTTCTTGTTTAGCTAGTTTTGTTGGTAGCCAAAACAGAGTATTTACAAGCCAATGAACTCAACTCCAGACATTTATCATGTGGCTTTACTACACGCCAAAAGACTGTATATTGAAGACTCACACAGAAACACTAGACCGTTTCGATTTGTGGTGAAGGGAGAGGCCTATTGGTTCACTTCAGTCTCCCTCTAAACCATGGAACTTCATTGTAAAGATAAGATGAGAAAAAACCATGTGTGAGCTCTATCTCCTCTCTATCCATCAACATGGCTTCTTGTCTGAAAACAACTCCAATATTTTACCCTTTGACAAATTCCACCAAGTCCCAAGTCAGCAGTCATCAAAATAGGAGATGGAAAATTTCAGTTTTGAAGAGAAACAGAGGGAGAGCAGCTGTTGTGCAGTGCTCTGCTACAGCATCAGATGGGGAGTTGCGTATTTTGCAAGAAGGGCTGGGGCAGAATGGGTATTTGACAAGGGGATTCGGGTGGGGAGTGAGGAGAATGGAGAGGGTTGAAGATGAGATGAGGAGGGTAGCTGACGTCCAGGCTGAGGCTTTTCATGAGCCTGCTGCTCTCTTTAATGACTTCTTCTTTGAGTTCTTTAAGGTTTAACATAATATATGCATCTCTTAAGCAATACTTGTTTAATTCTTTCATTTCCCCCCTCTTTCTTTGAATCTTGTTTTTGTTTCTCAACTGTTTAATGCAGGCGGAGGTTCTTTCTGCTCTAATTTACAGAATCAGAAATTCACCACCGGACAGGTTTTGCTCACCTTCAGAATCCTATTTCACGTTCTCCTCTCTTACTCTTCTTCATCGCTTCATTGACTTTTCAGAAAAGATAGATAGAAGAAAAATATATACATATATAACTAGCGAAGTTGTTTGCCTAACATCATATAGTGTAGTGCTGAAATGCTGTTAAATGATATGTTAGATAAATCTAATTCTACATTTATCTGTTAACCACGGCCAGTCATGTGATTCCTTTAGAATATTTTACATTTGAAAAGAATTCAAAGTCTACAGAAAGTAGATATCATGTATCAAACATATCAAAGTCAGCTTAATATACATTGCTATTGTATCTTAATTTAGGTGAAATTCATTATTTAGTAGTGTTCCTAATAGAGGATAAGATATTGATGCTTGTGCGCTCATATTCTCAATTTTGATTACGTCAGCATTCTTAATCATCATGTTCAATTACAGTATCATCTTCGACAATTTCTCACTCTATGAAGTTCACATCCTAAACAGGTATGCTTGTTTGGTCACAGAATCAATTAATAATGAATCAAATTCCCAAGGCATTCCAGAGCTTGTGGGAGTTGTCGACGTCACTGTCCAGAGAGAAGATGACGTTCTTCAACATCTCCAAGGTGCACGAGAATACCTCTACGTTTCTGGCATAGCTGTGCTCATCAAGTTCAGGTATGGTTATTTCCTAAAACTTATCCTATGAATGTTTTTAGAGTAAATTGCATATAGACCCCCTTTACTATCAGCAAATTGTGAATTCCATGTACTTCTGTTGTTGTGGATAGACCCTTCGGATTCTCAACTCCATTAGTTTTTCCACTGAGACTCGTTATATGTAATGATCAGCTTATAGTAAGTGAATGAGTTTATGCAGTGCATATGTTTCAGTTTGCGAGGCCAAAACTTAACATGAAACTTACGGAGTTGCAAATCCAGGGGTTTTATTACAAAAATAGAAGTATATGGGGTCTATCTGAAATTTGGCAATAGTACTGGAGGTCTAACCGCAATTAACCCACGTTTTTATTAGAACAACCGAAATCATTACTGTTGCTTTGGAGAATTTGTTCACAGGAGGCAAAAGATTGCAACGGTATTATTGGAGGCTTGCAATGTGCTATCAGAACAATGGGGGTATGAATATCTGGCTCTACGAGCTCATGAGGATGATTCTGCAGCTCAGAGGCTGTACACAAAGGCAGGATATAGAGTTGTATCAAGAGATCCTCATTGGATTACTTGGGTTGGAAAGAAACGGCGGGTTTTGATGATTAAACATTCCAGGACTTCAAGATAAAGTTTCGAAAAATTCCATCTAGTATTTGATAATAGGAATTACATAATCAATTTTGAGCATTTATTGCGTAAAAGTACAAGGGAAAAAAATACATAATTGCATGTATAGAGATTTGGTTGTAGATATTGCTCTCCTGCAAGACATGCTCCAGAAGTTGCAACCACTTGTACTGTTAAAAAGGAACCATAAATACTATCTTTGCTTACTAGCATTCTTTTGTTGCTGCTATTTTTGAAATCAACTTCATAGAAGTGATTCACCTCAAGAACTGTGATAGATGCAGCCGTATTATGGCCAGAAACATTGGTACTACATGAACATGGAAGGGAGGTGCATTTTTAACTCGAAGAGCAATGGCATTATTAATTCATCAATTTAGCATTGACTGGGGATTAGTACTCTTGCGAACCTAGCGTCACAAATAAAGAGCAAAAAGGAACCATAACTAAACAACTCCTTGATGAACATCAGCTTTATTTATAGTCCATCAGTGTCTAGCCATCCAATTTATGGATCTTTCTCAGTTCTGCCTCGTAAATCATCATTAACGTTTCATCCCATCTCCTTCACCAAAAAGGCTTTCAAGAGAATCATGTCTAAGCGACTCCTCCAAGATCTAGTATAGAAATTAGGAGTAGAGAAGCCCGTATATCAAGTTGTCGCCTAAATTAACTTCCTGCCACTCTCGGATGATCGCCGGAAACGTATGGATGTTAGTTTGGATGACAACTTGATATACAAGCTTCTCTACTCCTAATTTCTGTACTAGTTCATGGTGGAGTTGTTTAGACATGATTCTCTTGAAAGCCTTTTTTGAGATGGGATGACAATTTTATGGATGATATGTACAAGGGAGAACTGAGAAAGATCCCGTAATAACGGGAGACAGATAAAGGATAGCTTAGGCACCGATGGGCTTCAAATTCATGAAGAAGTTGTTAAGTTATAGGTTGAAAGTTACAGGTTGAAAAGTTATGGATTAAAAGTTATTACAAGAAATGTATGAGTTAAAAAAATATTACAGGTGATCCGGATGATTGAGAGTTTCCAATATGACTGGTATAGTCTTGGGTTCAATTCCCAGTAGCTTCATTACTTAAAAAAAAGTTAGTTGAAAGTTATGAGTTGAAAATTATGGATTGAAAGTTATGGGAATTATGAGTTGAAAATTATGGGTTGAAAATTATTGTTTAAAGTTATAGGTTGAAAATTATAAATTAAAAGTTATATGATAAAAGTCATGGTTTGAAAGTTGTGGGTAGAAACTTATAGGTTAAAAGTTATGGGTGGTGTTGATGTCAATTATTACATAGGGGGTTTATGTTAAAGTTATGAGAGTGTTTAGGGTCCTCAAACTCCTTCAGATGACTGGTTCCAGAGCCTGTTGTTCTTCCCAGCACATGAAAAACTCATGAGATAGCAGAGTTGGGTTCTCCGGTTGTTCCTTCGATGATCAAGTTAGTATTTTGATCTTGAATGGGAAAATGTGACAAGTTGTATGGGTAGTTATTCAAAGTTGCCAAAAACAGAAGAAGTTACCCCATGCAGCGTAACTCCCTTTTATGGCAGAACAGAGGAGTATGAAGGTAACTTCGGCCAAGTCCAATCAGGCTACCGAGTCAGCAGATACCTTCCAGGTGTCAACTGTGAAGGAAAGTGAATCATCTGGTCATTTATTGAGGGAATGACAGTTGGTGCTTGGAGCTGACTGGGTCCGATGAGTCATAAAGACTATGGTGACTAGAGTAATGATGATTTTGTCAGAGTAGTTAATGCAAGAGAAATCGGCTAGCAAGAGGCTCAAGGTAAATATCGTCTCTCTCTTATTTGGTCAAGGGCCGTAAAGCACTGCCTTTTGACTATGCTACTCAAGTTGTCAGCTAACACAATAGACTGAGTGCGGATTGCTCTTAGGGGCGGTCGGGTGAGGTGACAAACAAGCATTGCCTTTTGACTTGGCTACGAAAGTTGTTAGCCCAGAGGTCGGCCGTAGAAGTAGTTTAAGTCGTCTTGGCCTCAATTTGTCTGATTAGGTGAGGGGTGAGACACTTCTCGACTTCCTTAGGGAGATTAGCACTTGTTGATTTTCTAGGCTATAACAGATGGCCTCCTTCCACTTGAACTCGGGTAGCTGTGTACAAGTGGAAGATTAAATAGTTGTCAGTTATCGATTCTCAAGGCACATTAGTGACGAGTGACTGAAGTCTTTTTAGCTGTTGCTTCGAGCACCACGGTAGGCGCCCCCATCTGTTATAGCCTAGAAAATCAACAAGTTCTAATCTATCTAGAGAAGCCGACACATGTCTCACCCCTCGCCTAAGTAGATGAATTGAGGCCAAATCATCATTACTCTAGCCCCTGTAGTCTTTATGACTCATTGGATCCAGTCAGCTCCAAGCACCTACTGTCATTCCCTTAATAAATGACCAGATGACTCACTTTCCTCCACGGTCGACACCTGGAAGCTATCTTCCGACTCAGCAGCCTGACTGGACTCGGTCAATGTTACCTATACAACTTTGAATTACTACCTATACAACTTGTCACATTTTCCAATCCAAGATCAAAATACTGACTTGATCGTCGTCAATGTTACCTATATAACTTTGAATAACTACCTATACAACTTGTCACATTTTCCAATCCAAGATCAAAATACTGACTTGATCGTCGGAGGAACAACCAGAGAACCCAACCCTGCCCTCTTACGAGTTTTTCATGTGTAGGGAAGAACAACATGTTAGACCCTAGAGGGGGGTGTGATTAGGGTCTTATGCTAATCTAATCCAATTTTATGCTAATTTAAAATTTATTAACAAATTATTCTTGCAAGAATAGATATACAAAGTGATATGAGCAAGAATAAGCAATATAACTAAGGTGATATATCCTAGCAATGAGATATCTATATGATGTATGCAAGGATATATTTAAACTATCACAAGGGTGAAACAAACTAGTGGACAATATAAACAAGATGCAATAGGCTATAAGGAGAATAGTTATAAGAGCGCCAATGCAAACCAAACGCGCTATATGTTCACGAGGTTCGGACCTTCCGTCCTATGTCCCCGCTCCCCACTCTCGAGGAGAATCCACTACACAACCTGGTTTGGAAGCCGAAACTTCTCTACACATTTAGTTTTCTAGCTAACCGAAAACTCTACACACTCTCGGTTATCAAGTCAACCGACAACTCTCACAAATCCTCACAAAGTACATACACAAGCTACAACCTCAAGTGTTGGTCCTCATGTATCGACTCCCTCAAGTGCTCGGAATTATCACCTCTCACTAGGCCACCGACGCACTCCTCTCGGTATCGACTCCGTCCTCACTACACACTCCTCTCGGTGTACAAGTGTATTACAAAGTGAACTTTATAATTAGGCACACAACAAATGATTGTTCTCTAAACAAGGTGAGAACTCAATTAGGCTCAACTCAATGTTACTATCTCTCACAACCCCAAATATATTATGAATGCAAATACAATAAGCTCAAGTGGGTGTGTGTAACAAAGAGATTAATCAAATCTCAACTCAATATAAAACTAGCTTTAATAAGATGATAATCAAACAAATAAATATAAAGCTAGAAAAGAGTTTAGAAAACTTCTCAATAGATGACAAGAGATGGAGGGAGAATACTTGATTGCTCAAACTCCAATAGATGATCTCCTCAAGCTCTTGTGGAATTGAATTCACAAACTCAAACTCGAAAATGCTTAAAAGCTTTTAAACATACTTAAACAAAACTGAAACCCTTGTTTAAACTTGATTATAACATTTTCTTGGTTCACCAGAAAAATGAGAGCAAATAAAACTTAAACCCTTGTTTAAACTTGATTAAAACATTTTCTTGGTTCACCTGAAAAATGAGAGCAAAGGGGGTATATATAGGAACCCAAAATATTAGCAAAAACCCCAAACAAAAAGACAAAAAAGCTCTCAGAAAACATAGCTGGAAAAGATAGAAATATAGCCGTTATTGTACGCCACTGGCGGTCGACCGCGGGCCAAAACTAGCCGTTGGTAAACAGGCTGAAAAAGTCACGGTCGACCGTAGAGCCACATCCGGTCGACCGTGGGAAGTTCTGAAAAATTCACAAACTCTCTGGAAAAATGACGGTCGACCGCAGAGCCAATGGCGGTCGACCGCGATTTGATAAAAACCAAAACGCAGTCTCTGGATAAAGTGCGGTCGACCGCAGAGGCATGCGCGGTCGACCGTGCACTGATATTTAATGTGCACAGTTTTGAAAACAGTTTTCTGATTTTAAAGCACTGTTTAAAAATCTCAAACAAATTCCGAAAAATGTAAAACTTTGGAAAATAATTATAGACATGATAATAAACATGCTACAAAAATTGGTTTTCAAAAAGGACCTCCCAAATGAGAAATATTATCATTTTACAAAATAGTCCAAAACATGAAAATGTAAACATATGAATTTTGACATTTTTGCTAAACCATGTTTTGAAACATTACAAAAAGATTTTGTGGACTTAATGAAAGATGTGTATGATGATTGTTAAGTCCATAAGCCATGAAAATAATATTTTCATAAAATTGCATATTCTATGCAATATATTCTTAAACAAAATAGAGTATGAAACATATGATTATATATATGAATGTAAATTTATTTCATATCTATATAGCTAAACATCATAATGAAAGATGTGTATGATGATTGTTAAGTCCATAAATTTATTTTATATATATACATACATATGTTTTGGGTTTTCATGTTTATAAATATGAAATCACATATTTCATATTTACAATTGTGTTTTTTGAAAATATTGCATAGAATATGCAATTTTGTGAAAATATGGTATTCATTGTTTTTGGACTTAACAATAATCATATACATTTTTATTAAGTCTATATAATCATTGTGCAAAGTTTCAAAACATGGTTTAACCAAAATATCAAATTTCACATGTTTACATTTTCGTGTTTTGAACTATTTTGCAAAATGATGATTTTTCACAAATGGGAAATGCAATTTGGAAAAATTTTTTTGTAACATGTTCACTTACATGTTTATATACTTTTCCCAAAGTTTCATAATTTTTGGACTTCATTTGTTATTTTTAACACATCTTCAAAAGTCTCAAAAATAGCTTTAAAAACATGTTTTAAGTGTATCGGATTTTCGGTCGACCGCACCGGTCGACCGATCCTGAATTCATGTGTTCACTG